ACGGCAGCCATTACAGACGAACATGTTTGTTGTTGTTCAGGCAGCGGCTCGGTCACACGCTAATGTCATTAGTTCATTATCATTACTAAGGTTCGGGACTGTTTTTTCCCCCTTTTTTTCACATCATGTCTCCTGCCTGGATCTGTTATTATCTCGCTCTGAAGCACGGAGGAGTGTCAGAGGTGAGCTCGTTTCAACTGCATTTCACAACGTGGTCTCATTTCCGGACTCAATAATTTTGCCGATATTTCAGTTAAAGTACACAAGTAAAAATATTTTTCTGAGTATAATACTACCCCCCAACTTTATGGGTGATTTTATGGATTAAATTTTACGTATTAAATAAATATGGTATTATTATTATTAATAGCATTATTTAGTTAGTTTTAGTCAACTATATATAATAACCCTGCTTCTGGCAAGACTCCATCAGTTCAGAGCGGTGTATACAAGTTTCTAAACATTTGCTCTCTARAAGAAAAAGTTTGTCCAACAGTAAAGATGTCTAAGATAAAAATAGAATTTTAAAATAATCTACTGGAAGCCTCTTTTGCACCTATATATACTATAATGCTAAAAATTAGATTAAATATGTAGCTGATTTGAGTAAAATAGTCATAACAACATTTTCATAAGTTGTCTAAAACGTTATAGTGTGACAGGGTCTTCAGGTCTTTTTCAGGGAAGCTCTTGCACATTTCAGCAAGACATTGTTAAACACAAACTGCCTCTAAGAGCAGAGGTGTCAAGTAACTAAATACAAAATACTTTGTTACTTTACTTAAGTAGTAATTTTGGTTATTTATACTTTAGTGGAGTAATTATTTTTCAGCCTACTTTTTACTACTACTTCTTACATTTTAATTCAATTATCTGTACTTTCTACTCCTTTTAAAAATGCAAAAAAGTATTTCATTTATATTTATATTTAACTTTGACTTTAAAAAATTTAATAAACACAAATCTGTCCAGATAAATGAAGCCCATGGATAGAGTGAATTTGATTGTGGTTGATGAGAAGTGTAAATATAAACCACTCTGACATCCTATTGGATTGAACTCACTCCATCACACCTGTGTGACACAAATCACATCACACTCCAGCAGGACAGACTGTAGCACAGTGATTCCCAACCAGGGGTACAACTACCCCTTGAGTTACGCCAGCATATTACGGGGGTACGTGGAAAAATTTCCCAGGTGCTCAAAAAAATAAGTAAAAATCACAAAGCAGAAATTATGGATTTGACACAAAATGGAAWCCAGTATAAAAAGCAGAATCTCACAGAATTTGCTCATTTGGGTGAGTTTCTGATGTATTTTGGACGTTGCTGTTTTCTGCACCTGCCATTACCTGGTTTACTTATTTAATTGCTTATTCACTTTCAAGGCAACATTTTTATCTTTATCTCTTCTTTGAAAAGAATAAAATGCCTGAGAATTAAACGTTCAAGGGGGTTAAATAAATAATTTTCATTTAATAAWCAGTTGTTGTACATTATAGTTTTGCAGAATCATCATTTCGTTTGACTGAAGGGGTACTTTTACTTTTGTTTTGTTACTTTTAAAACCTAAAAATGATACTTTTACTTCTCTTCTTTAAAGTTTAACACAGTTACTTGTTACAAATTAAATCTGTGAACTCATCATGAAAGGAGTTGTTTATGTGCTCTAAAATAATGAAGTGTTGAATTTACTCAACTAAATCGTATCAACTATTTCCACTAAACCTAGTAGAGTAAATCTGAAGTGAAATACATATTTTATTTTAAATAAATTGACCAATTTAAATCAACTTGCATTTGTGGAGCCTGTTTGGTTCTATAAGTTTAACAGGTTTTTTTGTTAGAGAGCGTGGAAAAGTACTTTTACTTCTACTTTCCTAGTTTTTGTGAACAGTTTTATGACTTTTACTTATGTAGTTTTCTCATCAGTGACATTTACTTTTTACCAAGTACTTTATAGACCTCTGGAATTAAGTCCTATAATCAGCAGAAAACAAAGCTGCAGCTGTCAGCCAGCCTGTGTGGAGATCTCGTGGAGCTAAATACATTAATAAAACATTTTTGCAAAAAGTCTATGCAATAAATTATGAATGGCTTATTGCTCTGATAAACGTGTAAACACAGAAAGCAGAAAACGAACATCTCCGCCCACAAACTGTTCACGAGTGACCACAGTTCGACACAGGAAGGTCAGTGAGGTGAAACCTGAAATTTACCCCAGAGTCTGTGGCTCTGAAGTCCTCTGCCTCCTCTCCTGGTCCGGCTCGGTTCCTCAGGCCTGCTGGCGCTGATCACGGGGAGCGTGCACCGACAGATGGGGAGCAGCACACGGAAAAACCCCCACGCCGCCTCCACCGGAACGGCRCCTTTCTCCAGAGGAAGACCCCTTCTCAAAACGTTAGCTGGAATGATCTGGAAWTCAGAAAGCTAGCCGCACAGGAAGTGGATTTTTGGAAGAAGCACGATGATCTATGATTGGATGATGATCCTTTTTGAATCAAACTCAAGCAGTCCTCCTGATGATGTCACCTCTCGTTAATTCTAATGATTCCAGGTCTTTTCTTTATATATATATTTAGTAGCTAGCACACTGATTCCTTCAGGGYTTTGGAAGCATCATGAAAAAGTCTCAAAACCTGATTGAACTTGCTGATGATTGGCAAAAATGATTTGATGCGAGAAGTGATTTGTCCCAGTGGTGATGAAAAGTCGATCCCGTCTTTATTTTCACAARGAGCAAAAAGTCTGTGGACGCTGTCCGGCCTGGAGCATGGACAGCAGCCGTGAAGCAGTCCCACCAGCGAGAGGAAGAGACGGGCGATGTCCTGCCACCGTGTGCCAGTACACTTCTGAGCTGATGTCTACCGAATCATTTTCAGATCAAATTAAATGCATGCAGGAAAAAAATAATAAATAAAAAAACGAATTGTTAGACAGTCTTTTACTGGCAGCAGAGGTCYCTTGAAACTAGTGTTCACCTCATCAAACTGGTGAAAAGACTGTCTTAGTTTGAAAAAAATAAAGAGCAAAAAGTTCAAAGTCACATGACAAGAAGGGAAGTAAAGCCCGATGTTACATCGCTGTCATTTTCAGTTCAGGTTAGTGAAACAGAGCCGAGGGATGCATCATAATGACATTTCTGTCTCTGCTGGTTAGACAATCACATCTGTGAGACGCCCATTTAATGAGCTTTGATTTTCTGATTGGAGCAGGAAGAGAGTTTAGCTCTGATTTCATAGAGGTCAAAGGTCAAAGAGCCGTCTCAAGTGGCACAAAGCAAAATCCCAAAAACAAACTCTGACCACAACTTGATCAACTTTTATCTGATTGGAGAAAAAAAAAGAATATTAGAAGAAAAAAGCATGCATCCAGTAAAAGTTGTGAGGTGGATCTTCTCTTCTTTATATTTAGCTATTTTTGGGCCCACAGGAAGTTCCAGTGCAGGTTTCACTTGTTTTGCTGACTGTTCGCAGGTYTGTGCTCCACGGCAAACTGAATCTGCAAGAAAACAAAAATAACATTCATTTAGGAGAGAAAAAAATAACAATTTTTGAGCACATCTTTTCAAACTAAAACAGTATATTCGATACATCTGATGTAGGGCTGCCACAAACTATTATTTTTATAATCGATTAATCACCGATTATTTATTCGATTAGTCAACTAATCGGATCATACGTTAATTGAATATAAAACATACAGCTTATCACGTCAGAATGCAGCTGCTATTATATAACCATGGTTAGATTTTAGCTATATGCTAACTAAAAATAGTTGCTGTGGAAGGTAAGTTCTGCTCTGCAGATA